TATTATGATTATTCGAGGTACTTTTCAATGACTCCATTCACATTAAGAGCCTCAGTTCCATTTCGTAGAGGTAATGGATTTCGTATTCTTAAAGGAAGTTTGTTAACGTTTGAAAGTATATTTTTTAAACACACCAATAAATAGCCTAGCCAAAGTAAGCTCTGTAAGACTTGTGTTATGGGGATTTAGAGGGTATTTTACTTTTACCATACCTATGTGAACTTCTGGATAAATTTACAAACATATAAGTGAAACTTCTATTCGTAATACTATCTTATCAGCTATATTCACGTCTGGACTTCACCATCATTTAACATCAGGTGGGTGGAGTGATTTGTCGGACCTTTCTATAAAAAAAAAATACGTTAGACCAAAACGTATGAACGCCAAAAAAAAAAGATTTCTGGTATAACCTACATTTAAGTACTGACAAAGAGTAAGTCCTTAAATGTAGAGTAATATTATTTGTATAGATTATCTAACAAAACTAACCGATAAGCTTGCTTTTACCGATATGCATAATTGTAATATCTGCTAGGATATGTTTTCTAAAACACGATGCATTCAGAAATTGAACAATTAGGTAATAATTAAGGATACGCATACATAGGTACCTACACTGATAAATTTTGCTTTTCGATCGGGACCATTGTTAGAAAACATTTAAAATTCCCTGTAATTGGGTAATAACTATCATCCGAGTAAAACAATAGTTCATTGTGTGGTAAATTGTGCAGTTAACTGTTTACAAACACTTGAACAATGCCTAACGACTCGGGAGGAAGTTACTCATAGATCACCGACGGCATTATTATATTAACATATCTATTTAGCTATCAACTAATATCAATATTTGGTAAATATGATGTGCGACCGTATAGTAGAACATAAGCGCTCATATTGTTTAACTTACGGTAGAATATTGAGCAAGTGAACTGTGAAGTTGCAGGGAAAGTGAAGCCAGCCAAATTCCCCAAACATTTATTTATTTCTTACATACTTTATACATACTGAGCACATGGTAATGATGCCCGATAAGGAAACCGGAAGCAACTATTACATTTTTATATATTCCTATATAGTGTTGCCAAAGACCTCTTTTGAATTTCAATTAATTGAGAAGTTTTTGAGCGTGCTAAATATCTATTCTAAATAAATGGCCTAGAAATAAAGCTTATGGCTTCACTTGGCTATTCGTATTAGCTATTTGTAAACTTGACAACAGTAATAATAATAATAATAATTTATTAATCTGTTCTTTTAATTCTAACTAGTAGCTGCTAGGTTTTTATCAAATTAATGTTAACTAACATTTGGAGATTTATTTTCTTTCTTTTTCTAGTTTGTTTAAGGTTCTAATCGAACCTTGATTACTTGTCATATATTATGAATTAAAATTTATGTTTTATGAGAACTCGTTTCCATCGAGTTACGACATTATATCGTAAGCAAAAAGTTTCACTTTTGATAACTCTTCTCAGGGCGATTTTTTTGTATTGGAAAAGTACAGTAATTATACCAATTATGTGATTTCTCTTAATTATAACAAAACAGATGATTATTATCAAAGTACCTAAACCTTGGTCTTCTTTTATGGTGACCACGACCTACTTCGTCGCCTGCAATACGTAATGTACCCACTGTAGGTAGGTGTATGTAATTTTTATTGTAATGCAATAATAGATTTTGGAAAATATAATCGTGAAAACCGAGACGGATAGAACAAAGAAAATACGGGTAGAAGTTACCTGATAAACATACAAAAATATTAATTGGCATTAAGATTGATATTTCCTGTAAAAATATCGAGTACCTACAAGTGAAACACTTTTGAATTCAATTTTTTCGTATTAGCGTGGCTAAAATTCGTTTTTTTTTTGTAATTTTGCATCAAGTATGTACAGGAAGTCGGTTTCTACTAATTAAGTAATTGTATTATACACAAAAGAAAAAAAAAGAAAAAGTTGTAAGTATACATATTTATAGATAGATAGAGATAGTTGAGATATCTTTCAATTCATGTTTTCGTTATCAAGGTGGATATGGAAGAAAGTGGCTTTTCTTTTATCACGTTAAGCGACAAAATAAATATGGCAGGGTTTCCCCGATTACTCCAGCCAATGGATAAGAATGCATTTAGTGATGGCATAATGAATCTGTACTTACTGAGACGAACCTTTGTGGACTGGACATGTATTTACTTTCTGATAATATTTTTGGCTTGTGTACATGACACAAAAAGATAACATTGTTAAAATCTCATATCAAGTGTACGAGATTTCTATTTACCTCGTATCACGTATCGAGACTGCTAAATCTCGAACCTCGAACGTTAGAGTTCTCATAAGTTTGGCAACCCTGCGCGCTAATGCGATTAAAAATTTAGAGTAGGTTAGCTAAATTGCTAAATCGTAGCAAAAGTTTGCTTTTTCGAAAGTATCAAATAATTAAAGTATCTACTTACCTATGTTTTATCCGGTTTTTAGGAAAAATAATTATTGCAAACGATTAAGTAAACTACTTTTTGAATTCGAATTGCGGTTAAGTAATACTAATAAGATTAAACATTTAAGGTAGGTTACGTTAATTGCTCGATCGTGGCAAAAGTTTGCTTTTTCAAGCGAACTAAATATTCAAAGTGCCTATGATTTCATCCGGTTTTCAGGTAATCTAATTTTGGTAAACAAATGTTCTGAACACGCATGAAAAAGGATCACGCGATCAAAATTACAAAGCAGCTATTATCAGTTAGTTACCCACTTATGTGCTGTCGGTGTCGAGTGAGTTTCGACATCGATGCAACTGAGTTGCACCTCTTGCAATCGATATTTCCCATACACTGAGGACATTGTTCCACATAGATCGTTATTGTAAACTATAATTATGTGGGAAACTTAAACTAGACACTTTAAAGATATCTATCTATAGAAATTTACACCTAATTGGTAAAAGAACATACCATAAACATCTAAATTGATTATTCTTTAAGACACAATTTGTCTATAAATTGCTCTATGCTACTGTAGCAAAAACTGCTCGTCAAAGGTGTAAAATAAGTGTTAAACATTAATCATACAGTAATAAATTAGAAAAAAAGATACCAATTTGTCAGTGTGCATAGGTGTGTTATTTGTTAATGTTTGACAGTTCTACATTTTACAAATTGTAATACAATAGGCCGCGTAGATAAAAGATTTTTTTAGAGACATAAAAAAGTAGTTAATTGGTTGTTATTAACAAGTAAATGCATGTTGCGTTGACAAATCACTTAAACTGACATATTAGAGTAATGTATGTTTACTACTGGCTACAATAAAATTATGATCGATTGGTCAACGCACATTTATGGGTTATATTGTTTTTAACTATTGACATTATAATTTTAATTTTTATAGTTCTTTGTTCAGTTAAAGTTTCCTAGGGGGAATTTATCTTGATTGTTTAGCTTTGTGTTATTTTTATATTTGTTGCGGAAGCGGCTTTATTAGTAAGTTTATTGTAAAAATGCTAGGTGTCTACATTCTTATTTATGCACAAGACAATAAGTGTAGAGCCTTTTGACAGACAGAAAGACAGCGGAGGCATATTAATATCCCTTTTGTCAACTATTGGGTAATGAAACCTGTAAAATCTAGCCTTTGTTAAGGTTTTAGTTAAGTTGTTCTTTTCAGTGTTTGGTCTTCCACGCTGACAAAATACTCGTTACATGTTCGGCTGAATATATATATGAATATTAATTACACTACACTCGAAACGCAATCGTTTTCAGTGATTTCAGAGTTTACTATACTTTGTTCACGGAGAAGTGTTAGTGGAGCTGTTTCTTTATTACAAAAGCGCTAACAAAAGAAAATGATGGGAAACTGAATAACACGAGAAAAGGGGTATCCATTAGTTAGAAGACGTACCGACAACAATACAACCCCGTCAATGACAGTAAATCTTAGCTTTCTTAGGGCAAATCAAAAGCACAGAAGTTACAAACACGAAAGCGTGTTTGTTATTATTTTTGTTTCATTTGGAGCAGAAGGCAAGAAGAATGCTAGAAAGATTATATTCTCTTATTTACGACAAAAATATTGCGGATTGCAATCAATGGTAATGTAGTCAGTTAATGTGTAATGTTCATGAATAACTATCGTGGTTGACTAACGTTAAAATGAAGGAAAATAATATAAAATATTAAGGGTTGTTTTAAATATTTGTCATGGGCTGTTGCCACAGTGTTGGAGATATTAGTGTCGCATATGTATTGTGTCATAAGTACGTTTATACGCGTTTGCGAGTAACTTTCAAACTCTCAAGCACAAGGTGTATCCAAACTTTCATACTAATATTTATAAATACGAAAGTGTGTCAGTCTGATACCTCTTCACACTTAAACCGTTGAACCGGCTTAGATGAAATTTGGTTTATAGAGAGTTCAAGTCCCGGGAAAGGACATAAGATAGTTTTTATCCTATAAATCATCATTTAAGGGGGTGAAAAAGGGGATGGAAGCTTGTATAAGAAACCACGCAGACAAACTCGATCGCACCCACTAGTAAAATATTAATTTATATAAATTGTTCTTTAACTACATGTTTACGCGACTCTGAATACTTAAAGCTTGTTCCTTTTAAACACGCCTTCCGAAAATTACTTTCTTTTCACCTTCGTATAAGACTTGTTCTTCGTGCGTAATGGTAATAATTATGATTAAGTGCTTTCAGCGTCTGATTTTCAAATAATGTTGTGTTTAAAAATGTTTTCAGTTGTTTTATCGAATTTACTGAGAAATATTGGTAATGATGACATAAATATAAATTCCTTTTGATTTATAAGAAAAGCTGTTTATTCGCAATAATATTGTTTTCAATTCCAACATTCGCTCCAAAATTACGGAGTTTTGTATACCTTGTCCGAAAGTTCAAAATTACGGGGCAAATATCGTAGAGTGCGGTAAAACGATTTATAAACTCTTGACTATAGTAAGCCCTCGACTTCGTCTGGTTCTTACATTCGTCTACTCGTTTATAATAACCAACTTACCGCACTAATATCATAAATAACTATTAACCAAATAACCAACCAACCAAAACAGCATATTTGTGTCGTTTATCGTGTAGATAGTATATCTGTCTGTAATTTCGTATCACAATTACTAAGAACGTTTTTATTGTTGATTAGCACTACAATGCAATACAAACTAAAAAAAAAAACAATATAAATAATTTCTATAACGACTATGCAAAATAACGGAATTTCGCATTATAAATTGAACTGGTTTCTCTCGTGCTCGCGACCTTGTTGCTCTTAGCGCGAGTGATATCAAACCGTCATGTTATGAAATGTAACAGTTATGTAACCGTGTGTAGTGAGAAGACGTTTCACGTAAACCGGTCGTTTAATAACGTAGGTTAGTGTCATCGTTCGTCGAATTGACAGGCTCCAATTGCATTTAGCAGTTTGTCGATAAATAAGTGAAGGTTGTTTTATTCTTTTCTTTTCAAGTAGCATTAATATCATTTACGATTGTGAATTGAATGCCTCGATCGACTTCAATGAAAACAGTGGGGTAATCTACATAACTTTGTAGTACTGAGTACAATTTACTTTCAAATAAATATTCAGAGTGAGGAATTTTAAATTGCCTCTGTTACTTACTTACGAAAAAATTAAAATATTTACGGAAACATTTTTTCGTTGGGTCGGTTTGTCAAGTAAAACCTTGAGAGTTCGATCACACGAGACGAAAAATTTAATGACAAGTACAAAAAGTAGGCACTATTACATTACAATTAGTTTTTATGTGTTATGAGAACGATTGTGTATGTCATCATTTAGGGGAGAGTGGGTAACAATGGATCACTTTTTTTTTCAAGTTCCACAAATCCCAAGTATAAACTTGGGCGTAAACAATTAATCTATGATAATTAACCACAAGATATGTCCCTAATCTACAAAACCAGGTGCAATTATTGGTAAAAACGGCATAAATTTACAAGTTATAACAAGTTTTTTAAAAAAATGGGAAATGATCCACTGTGACCCGTGGATGGGTCACTTTGGATCTTTTCATGGATGACAGGGAATCGCTTGGAGTACACTGGATCTTTTAAAAAAAAGTTCAATAGAATACCAATTTTCTTCATAATTATTTATTTATTTATATTCTAAGGCCTTCTATCACAGTCTTATCAAAAATTAACAAGTCTTTCAAATTATGCTAGTATAAAGAGACCTAAACTAATCAACATTTTGTTTAAATAAACAACAGTTATTCTCCTTTAATTTCCACAAAGTTCTCTTCTCTATTCAAATAAACATATTTACTTCTTCAGTAATCATTAACAAACATTTTAATAAGAATTTTGTTAAATGCTAACTCAACTATTAAACATAAATATATTTACTCCTCGTGTAATCATTAATATAAACTTTAATAGGAATATTGTTGATATATCAACTATTAAAAATAAAAATTATTACTTTTTCAGTAATCGTTAACAAAAAATAAACTATAAAAACAAATATTTTCATTTTCTGATATCTCAAAATTGTCTGAGATTCGGTTTGAGGTCAAATTAAATTAGATTAGCGTAAATTAATGTTAGAAAGATCAACGTTAAAGTTGTGCATGCCTTGCTTCCTCTTTGTAGTCCCAGAAAACGTAGGTTTTGGTAAAATCATCTTAATATCATGCAGCGCTACCGTGCAGCTACAGTCCGCTGTGACCCAAATGAAAATTATTCACTGTGACCCATAGGCCGGTACGACGCAAAAAAAAATATTCAAAAAATAACTACTTATACCCAAGCCAAAATTACATTACCCACAACGAATTTATCAAATAACAAGTTCAAAATATACGACTATCATTTATATTTATTAAAGGGTTGGGAATACGACAAATTTTTAAATTACGTAAAAAAATACTTTCGTACTTACCTATTGGTCTGCGTGTGACAGCACGTGATTCCGCTCGGCGAGCGCGGCGGCGACAAGCGCGTGAGAGGGGGGTATCGACGAGCAGTAGCCACGCGTTTGCTTGTGTGCGTAAAGCATCAGACGTAAGAATTATAGCGAATAATCCGCTGTGACCCGTGATCCACTGTTACCCACTCTCCCCTACACAAAATGTCAATCAGTATAGAAACTATGAGCATTTTTTAAATTATTTGGAGGCACTATTGAACTCAAAGCACCACTTTAATTAAAATCACTTCATTGCTATTTGCCAATGCATTAGTAAGTGGGTAGGTACGCCTTATACATTCTCTTCGCCTATTAAGCTCACAGTGCTTTTTTGCTATTCTGAATCTGCTACGCTACTTAAAAATATATATAGTATAACACTAGATATAATGTTATTTCTATTTTATTTTGTTTTATATTTTGCTGGCACATTACTCTTCTATCTCTGTTAAACTATCCTTCGACTTAAAGGTTGTCTGGAAGAGATCGCTTTCAGCGATAAGACCGCCTTTACCCACCATAGTTGACTATCTGTTTTGTAAACCCTTTAATTGTGTATGTGTGAGTAATAAAGTGTTTATCTATCTATCTATCTATCTAGATAGTGTGTTTAAATAGCATCACGAATTTTGGATTTCCGCCATGCTACGTATATTAGATTAAGTATCGATTTTGATTATTTCTGACAGTATATTATGATTGGTACTTATCATAAAGTTATACCTTTAATAGCTTCATGGTACTTATGTTGTTTTTTTTAAGCATTTAACTGCTAGATGTTTAAATCTAAAGAAAAGTTTACTAGAAAAAAATCCACGCGGACCAGGCAGCGGACGGGACTCGAACCCGCACCCTTCGCTATCCGGGCGAATGCACTGACCATTATGCTACCACGGCCCTATTGTGGATTACCTACAATGCGAAGAGATGGCGCTGCCTTGCAGCTTAAGGCTAGGAAAATTTCGACGCGGCGAATAGGGCCGTGGTAGCATAATGGTCAGTGCATTCGCCCGGATAGCGAAGGGTGCGGGTTCGAGTCCCGTCCGCTGCCTGGTCCGCGTGGATTTTTTTCTAGTAAACTTTTCTTTAGATTCATGGTACTTGTTTGTTTTGTGATTTTTAGGGTTCCGTACCTCAAAAGGAAAAACGGAACCCTTATAGGATCACTTTGTTGTCCGTCTGTCCGTCCGTCCGTCCGTCTGTCAAGACCCTTTTTCTCAGGAACGCGTGGAGGTATGAAGCTGAAATTTATATCAATTACTCAGGTCTACTGTCCCTTGAAGCTGTGAAAAAATCAAACTTCTAAGCCAACGCAATCAAAAGATACAGCCGTTTATGCCGCAAATTTTCGACACTTGCAAGGGAATCAAAACCTACAGGGTGCTTCCCGTGAACTCAGAATCTTGAAATTTGGTACCAAGCAACGTCTTATAGCATAGATAAAGGAAAAATTACGAAAACCATAAATTTTTAGTTACATCACATAATATATTTTTTTTAATAATTTTAACCTTACTACCCATTTCCTCATAAACGCGTAGAGGCATTAAATTGAAATTCATACCAAATACTCAGGTCTATAATACCTTTAAGCTGTAATAAAATCAAACTTCTATGTCAACGCAATCAAAAGAAACAGCAATTTAAGCTGCATATTTTGAAACTCGCAAGTACTCGCAAGGGAATCAAAACCTAAAGGGTACTTCCAGTCGACCTAGAATCTTGAAATTTGGCATGAAGCAACGTTTTATAGCACACATAAAGGAAAAATTCCGAAAACCTTAAATTTTTAGTTACATTAAAAAATATATTTTTTAATAAATATAAACTTATTACTTCTTTTTCAGTCACCATTTACAGGTCTGGTTCAAATTTAATATATAATTAATATTTTTGAACCAGATTTCTAAATAGTGACTAAAAAACTTAGTAAATAAATAACTTTAATAAAAGAACTTTCGCAAGTCTGCTGCAAGGCAGTATAAGTGTTTCAGTTATATTATAGATAAATGATATGTGTTAATATAAAATAAAGGATTACTTAAACGATAAAGAGATCTTTGTCTTAAATTTATGCTCCTCCATCTTTCCCCATTGTAATGTTATGAATTTCATTTTGCAATAAAAATACCATAGTTATGACTAGATTGTCGTAATGAACGAACTTTGTAAACCTTGCAGGTTTGTACGGAACCCTCGGTGCGCGAGTCCGACTCGCACTTGGCCGGTTTTTTTGACAGCTGTTTTCTCTGGACGTCTTCTATCTTCGATTTTTTCCTACCCCTAAAAATGGATTAACGTTTCTGTATTAAATTTTTGTTAAAAACCATAAATAGATTTAGCAATTTGATGAGGACCCAAACATTCGATTGTTATCAATGGTTTGGGCATGAAATGCGAGTCGTCGCAAATTTCGTGCAAAATGTGCTCTATTCTTACTGCCTGTGCGAGATTTTTTGGCCAGAATAATAAATAACTAAAGTTATTATTATGCGACTTCCACAGTAGAAATAGGATACAAAATGTATGTTTAATTTATGCATACTATGTTTAAAACAAAGTATATAATATTGGGTGTAGAAGAACGTATCAGATATTTACCTACTTACAATCGTATTAAGGGAGGTTAGGCCAATTACAAAAGGCCAAAGTAAAATAACTATTATGTGCTCGATAAACTTTAAATGGTTTACTTTTTCTAAAACAATTACACTAAGGCCTCGAAGCAAACAACTAAAATATAAATAACTAAAACATTATTCTGAGACTTCCACAGTAGAGAGAGATAGTACACAAAATGTTTGGATAAATTATCCATACTATCATATTTTTAAGCTTTTAACTGCTTAATGTTTAAATTAAAAGAAAATTTTACGAGAAAAAAATCCACGCAGACCAAGCTGCTATCTGCCAGGTATTCGTTTGACGTTGTTGGTTACTTGAAATGCGAAGAGTTCGATACGGCCAATAGGGCCGCGGTGGCATAATGGTCAGTGCATCCGCCCGGATAGCGGAGGGTGCGGGTTCGCGTCCCGTGTGCTGCCTAGACCGCGTGTTTTTTTTTTGTAAAACTTTCTTTCGACTAACCATACTATTTTTAAAAAAAACGGCCATGTGCATGTCGTGCCACGCGCAGTGTAGGATTCCGTAGTTACCTGTAGTTACCACAATATATTTGAGCAGGAGTCTTAATTTTCTATATCGATATCGCACACGATGGGGTAGATGATGAAAAAAAATCTTCCCCAGGTTATATGTCGCGGAGCTACCCTAAAAAAATATTTATCAAAATTTTATTCTACCATTTTGTCGGCGTGACCGATAAACATATCTCCATAAAATTACAGCTCTGTAATGCTAAGTCTCCAAGCAAAACCGAGGACAAACAGACGGACTTGACGAAACTAAAAGGGTTCCTTATCCTAGGACTACGGAACCCTAAAAAGTATATATTGGGTTCAAGAAGTATCAGATAACTTACTTATAATCATATCAAAAGAGGAAGGGCCAATTACAAAAGGCCACATTAAAATAAACATGGGTATTCACGGTCGATAAACTTTAAATGATTTCCTTTTCACATACTTTTTTCTAAAACTTTTAGTATATGGCCTCCAAGCAAACAACTACAATATAAATAGTACTTTTTAATTCAAAGGTTATAGCCATGACAGATCTCCAAAATAGCCCTTCTTGAGTGTTACTTGTTTAAGAATACTTTAGTAGACTAAGTAAATGCCAAATAACATGTCATGTATAAATACAATTTTAATTTTTAAAACCATTACATATACCTATTTTATCATATGAAAACTACTAGCTATGTTTAAATAAGTACATATTTAAGCTTATGAGATTTCAAAATGTACCTAGGTAATTTTTCTCTACTTTTATTCTCATTGAAAGAATTAGAACAAAATATAATGTCATTGGGAAACAATATTTTTTATATTTTTTTTTTACCTTGGGCTTATACTATGACAGTTATTTCTTCTAGATACAAGTTATTTAAAATTTCTTTCGACATCAGCTGTTTCTATACAACTAAACCCAAGATTCCGGGCGTTAAAATGAGGTGTGTCTAAAGTAGCAGTATATTGAAGTTAATGTTTTTTATAGCCTAAAGCGGTCATATTGCGTTTTGCTATATAACTTTATATTTCAGTTGATCTTGCAATAGACATCTAAGGTATATAAACTAGAGTGTGTTTTTGTTGACATCATTATTTAGAATTATCAAACAGTTTAAGTACTGTGGATCGTTGTTGATTTTGCTTAAAATTTACATTAGGTACATTGCTCCACAGGATAGGGTATTGATCAGGGAAGACAACGCTCGAATTATACTTTGAACCACACACTTCTATTGCTAATAACCACCGTTTCCCATCTTTTTTACACAACAAATTTCAGTTCAATTACCTATAACTTTTTTGGCCGGCCTGAACCGTCCTATTGGCGTTCTGACAATATTGGAGTCGTTGGGGTTAGTTATGAATTAGAAAGTTAATTTTTAGAATATAAACATTAGGTACAACTGAATTAAAGCACTTACTACAATACAAATAATTCTAGTATGTTAGGTCTAGTAATATCATTTCCTATTTCACCAAATTTAGAATTTCATAGGGTCCATAAAAGACTGAAACATTTTACATACTTAATTGGATTTCAAGTTAGCCGTGCATTGACATACTTTTTGTAGTCGGTCAACCAAGTTTTTGCTCAACAACCGAACTTCCCTAAGCAAGCAGGTGAATGCTGATCGACCTTCGAGTCACCTATATAGGTATTATGAGCAAAGCGTAATAAGTGCAATCCGATTACTACAATTACCAGCTTAAACAGAATACTATTGCTATTCATAAATTGCCGCCAAGTAACGTGATAATACACTGAAAAAAAGAAAGAGCATAAAATAAAACTTGAGGAAGTGCCAGTGTGTACAGGGATTCTGTATTCATTAGATTCAGTTGACCCAAAGACATTTTTATAAAATTAATTTTATCTATATTTATTAAATGAAAATATAAAGTTTGTTTGATCCTTATATCAATCAATGTTTACATCTGCTTCTTTCTACTGCTTCTTATTCCTATTAGGTATTTTTTATAGCAGAAATATATCAACTTAAATTCTCAAAATCAAACACATCTTCATTCCTTCCGATACCGAAACAACATAGGATTGTGATTTATTTGAGAATAACTCGAAACTACACCACAGACAAGTAAACTTGCGCTGTAAAGGTTTTTATGTAACATTGCTAGTGACTGCGCAGAGGGGGTCAAAAATAATATATAAATAAAATAAATATTTCCAACATTCGCACCAATTAGCCTAGCCCCAAGCTAAGCACTATAAGGCTTGTGTTATGGGATACTAGGGTAGGATAGAATACATATACTGTACATATATAAGTGTATTTATATAGAAATACATATTAAACATCCATGAGTACACATGTTTGTATTTATCACACAAACATCTGCCCCCACCGGGATTCGAACCCTCTCGAGTCGGCGACACCATGAAGCCCGGCGTACAAACCACTCGGCCAAGGAGGTCGTCATAGTTGTTGAGTCAGCAGTCCCTACCACTGGAGGATATGGACCCGGACCTCCTTGCACGAATAGTGTCTGCGCTTTTCCCGGAGGAAGCACCTACCACCTCCCCGTTATTGACGCTGCCACCTGAGAACCAGAACGTGGAGGCCTTGCTGGTTCCGCCGATTACGGACGCGGAAATGGAGATGACTCTCGGTTGCCTGCGGGGTCAAAAGAAAGTACCAGGCCCGGAGTCCTTCCGATCGCTCTGAAACACCGGGGTGAGCACTCAGGGGCACTACTCGATGAGTTTCTTGACGTGGGTGTGTTCTCCAGGGCGTGGAAGAAGAGAAGACTCTGTTTGCTGAGGAAGGAGGGCCGACCCGCAGACCAACCCGCTGGGTATCGCCTGGTCATTCTGCTGGACGAGGTTGGCAAATTCTTGGAGAGAATAATTGCCGACATACAGTCGGCTATCGGAGGAGGCAGTAAGGAGGGGAGAGAGCGTGCTCGCTATATCGTGGAATATAGCGAACGCTTTCAACACAGTCCGTATCTCAGGCGGATACTGCAGAACTTCCTGTGAGACCGGGAGCTGTTATACGCGTAACATGAGCCGTTTTCATTGCGTGGTTTATTTATTTGGATTGCTCTTTTTAGGTTATTAAATAATCAAAGAGTTTATCCTTAAAATGACTTAGAATATGTGTCACATTATTTATTATTATTTGTTAAAAACAACGAACATATTAGTTTCGTAACGTTTCGTTTTTTATTTGTTTACAGAAATGGGGACGCGGGCGCTGCTAGTCTGTGCGTGTATATCGATCGTTAGCGCTACTTTAGAGGTTGTCAACCAATGGAACCTCCTTCAGTTCGACTTTCCACCTGATCCAGTGCTTCTGGAGAAGTTTCAACCGGAGAATACGGTGCCCACGGGCCTGGAGATCGGATGGGACAAGCTGTATCTGGGAATACCCCGGCTACGAGCTGGAGTTCCGGCCACCGTCGCTTGGGTACCACGCAGCTTACCACCCGGTGTTAGTCCAGTTCTACAGGTAATACAATATTTTAAATCAATAATCCATATTAATGTTTTTAATGCAAATTTTTGACTGTCTCACTGTTGCGCTAAAACAGGTGAACTAGTTTAGATAAAAATCATAGTTATAGTTTGATTCCCGGGAAATAGGATAGTGTTTATACCCAGAAATCTTCTTTTAAGGGTCTGAAAAGGGGGTGGAATTTTGTATGGAAAATCAATTTTATGCACAGACGAAGTAATTGTTACCCATTAGTAAACCATAATGTAAGCGTTTCGAAATCAATTCGAAGGCTCGTATTTTAATTATCCTGTTTCATGAGCACTATAGGCACGCAATGGTTTTTGAACAAGGATAATAATTAGGTAATGAATGCTACAATGTAATTTGGAATTTATGTACTCAAAAAATAAAAATATGATCTTTGTATTGATTTAGATAGGTTTCCTTACATTGAAGTTCATCTATATACGAGTTCTACATCCTTAGACCCTGGGAATTATATTAACATAATGTATCCTACATTATATATTTTAAGCACAATTATTATTGTCAATTGACAATAATGGAATAAATAAAAAAACATTAATATGCAGTTATGTAGATATCCGTTCATATATTAAAGTATACTTATGATATAATATACAGGGCGTCCCACGGAAACCTCACACGGAGGGAAAGTATATATAATATTGAAGATAGGATATTTAACTAAAAGAAGACATCTTTTTATTTTTAATAATAACTAGAACTGCATTCACAGTTTTATTTAAGTCGCCTGCTACAACTGGGAATCGAACTCGTGAAATTCCTTAAAAAAAAAACATATCTTATTTTATGATAACCATCGAAAAAGTTAATCATATAAGAATTATTTTTGCAATATAACATAGCATTTTAATGAAAGAAAAGTTATTAAACTTAACATTACATTTCAGTGTTTTTTTTAATTATAGAGAAGGTTTGATATAGAAGATAAATATTCATTACTTTAACTGACCGCATAAAAAAACCGTTTTGTAATAGGCCTTAACGATTCACTTACAATTAAACACAATTCATTATTCATATTAGACGGAACGAGTTCATGCCTCACCAATTACTATGTTCAATTACAATTCGTGTAGATGTAATCGGAAGATCATCACGTACGCGGATAACAAAAACGTACTGCATATCGACAATATCAATGTATGTTACAATGTAATTTGGAATTTATGTACTTTAACTAGATATTGAATACAAACTTGATAAAAAACATTGAATTTTATCTGGATAAAATATCTGTATAGGTAGAAACAGTGTATATATGATATAAAAATCTTACATCAAAAAATCAGAAGGATAGGATCAGAAGATTATACTGACGTCGGATTAAATTAACAACAGATGCAAGCAATTGATGTTTTTGGAAATTTAAGTTTGCAATAGAAGAAATTGTTTAATATCTTCCCGATTGAATATATTATTTTTGTGTGCTTATATGTTATATGATTGTGTTATATTTAATATACTTATTATATAAGTAGTGTATCAAACTTTACCCTTTATCGGATTTTCTATTATACCGTGTAATTCCATTTAAACTGATTCATTATGAATATCGGATTACACATCTATGTGTCTGCGTCTATAGACGTTTCAAAATGATAGGTAGGCAGGCAAAAAGGGATTTTTCGTTTTGTAAATGTTATGAATTGATAAATCGTAAATTATAATTAGATTAAACGCTACTCAGCTATCTTTAAATTGGTATTAATACTCATAACTAATATTACAACTTGTTTTATCGAGTTAAAGTATTTTTGATCAACGATATTATATCGTTGATTTTTTAATAAAATTAAAGGGTAAAGCAAACAAGTATAGTGCTGGCATATAGGTGTACTTACACGGTAAAATAGTTACATATACAGGGCGTCTCACGGCTACCTCACACGGAGGAAAGTATATTAAATATTGAAGATAGGATATTTTACTGAAAGAAGACATCATTTAATTGTTAATAATAACTAGAACTGAATTCACAGTTTTTTTAAATCGCCTGTTACAACTGGGAATCAAACTCGTGAAATTTCGAAAAAAAACACAGCATATTTTATGATAACCATCGAAAGAGTTAATCATGAGGATTATTTTTTTCTAAATAACATAGTATTTTAAATGAAAGAAAAGTAATTAAATTTAACATTTTATTTCAAATTATTTAACGCTAACTAATATAAAATCGGATACGCCTCAAAGTAAGTTAAAATATTGAGTTCATCATCGTAGACGTTTATCATCCGCTGCTGTGGTTTCTGTAAGCGCATAACAAAACGTCCTAACTTTCTTAAAGTATCTACTAACCTTTTAAACACATATCGAGAAGGTACGTCTCTATCAGGTACCACCGCAAAGCTAATATGTCTTTGTGGTTTATAAGGTAAGCTTCCATTAAATCCATTTTATTTTGATACGCAATGGTGAGTAAATTAACAAAAAAAAAATGCAAATAAATGAAAATGAAACTCACAAAAAACAAAAGAACAGACGCTTGAAAATTTATGTGTTCCATTTTTATTATTTTTATAAATTTCAGCCAATCGCACTGTAACTGTGAGTTCAAAAAGAAAGCATACGTACTACAGTTTGTATATCACTTTATTATTTTTATCACGTAATAAGACATTCCTTTCATTTAAAAGGCTATGTTATAAAACATGTTTTGTTTTTTTTTTCGAAATCTCACGAGTTTGATTCCCAGTTATAGCAGGCGATTTTAAAAAAATCTGTGAATGCAGTTCTAGTTATTATTAAAAATAAAATGATGTCTTCTTTCAGAAAAATATCCAAACTTCAATATTTAATATACTTTCCATCCGTGTGAGGTAGCCGTGGGACGCCCTGTATAATAATTTGCTATCCCAGCGAACTTCATACCACCATAAAAATAGGGTTTGGTGGTAGAAGGGTAAAAATTTAGGGTTGTATGGATTTTTGTATGATGTATAATAAAAAAAAATGGGTGCGTGTACTTATGTAGGCGCGTGAGAAGTTATCCTTCTTTGGCACCGTTTAAAATTAGTTTTTAATTGCTTGCAAATAATTAATTACAATAAATTAATAAAAAGTCTGGAAAAGGACACAGTCAATAAAGTTCAGTTTTAATTTGAAAAAATAAATAAATAATCAAAATATTCAATTAAAATCGCTACTGAATATAATTTATTAGAACATTATGTGATTTGCACTTGTATGAAACTCAAACACGTATTCCGAATATACAAACTAGAAACATGTGGATAAATATTATAAATATGAATACCTATAACTGTTACTTTATTACAAAAAATAAAGATGTGGTTTTTGGTTCTACTACACCAATGGTCAAGAGATGGTGCTGTAGTCTCCTGAATCGCGCTTTGGTTCCATTGTTCCAGATTAATAAATACTTTTGATAGGCCTTCACAATGCAGTCGTTAGCACCCACTAAATAGAGATTCTATTTCTATTTTGCTGGTAGATTTTCTTAATGTGCGGTAAACACAAATGTAACGCATGAAGTTGGTCGCTAAAGCGACCAACTTCATGCTGTTAAAATTTTGTGTTACAGTGATGCGCGCGCATCTTAAAATTTCACTCTCATCATTTTTTCATAACGCGCCTAACGAAGTATAACTTCAAAAACAAAAAACTGTCTGAAAAAATTTTAGGGTGGACTATCCTTAACATTTAGGCGGATGAAAAATAAATGTTGTCCGATTCTCAGACTTACTGAATATGCATATAAAATTTCACGAAAAACAGGTGAACCGTTTCGGAGTAGTTCAATTACGCGCACCGTGACACGAGAATATTAGATTTAGCTATTTTTCTGAGTAAATATATAAAGTAAAGAAAAAAAGTACTAAAAAAGGATAAAGTATACCTATAATTCAGTAAAACGGAATTTCTACTCCTTATGCTGCTTTTAAAGCAATGCTTGTATCGTCTAAGTAACATTACAGTAATTACAATGACTATTTAGTGTTCCCACCAACCACACATAACTGCGAATTCTCATCGCCTCGCAAATATCTGCGAGCTCGCACGAATGCACCGCAAGAATAATAACACTATTTGTATTTATACTGTATGACACAGCAACCAAAATGCAGGTAAACAATTAATGTATATTTAATAATTATGTAATGAAAAGTGACTTCATGAATCACCTCTGAAGTCATTTTTCAATTTGACGACTCTGTAAATAATAAAACAGGGAGAAAAAAACAGCCCTTGCTGAGTTTCTTGCCGGTTCTTCTCAGTACAAGGTCTCCCGCCGTAGATTTACGAACCGATGGCGTAGCTTCTAGACATTCATATGTGCTTGTAACAGCCTAAACTGAATAAATGATTTTGATATTATGATTATTATGAACTTCGAGACGCCATTTTAGTCCGCTCTGAGACTTCCCTTGTACGCTCTTTTTTGTAGAAATGGTGATAATAAACTCAAAAGCTCTGTAAATGAAGATACGCTCATTCTAAAATAATAAAAAAAATCTTTTTCTTTTCTCGAATCGTGGTATTTTCGAGTAAAGTAGTTCCCAGCAGTGTTAATAATTGTAATAAATGGATGAATCCAAATTCTTCTTTTTCGTCTATATCTTTATGCGATCTTTTAAATAAGATATTATTAGTTCAATATGTACATTTTATTTTTAGATAATTAAGTGACATTCCAATAACAAGCGTAACTAAGTAACATCATCACAGCCCAAAAAGAATATATATGACACGCCTCCGCGGCCATTCCTGGCTACCGCACCAGAGGGGCCGGTAGCAACTGGTCCAGGTGACGTCTCCATACCTCACCACTATCCGTCGTAACTCCATAATGGACACGCCCCAGCCGTCGTATCACAGTGCCAAACTCCCATCTGTGGATGCCATTATAACTCCGAGCCTGAACACGGTCAGCCTGTTTGAATTGTTTCCTTAATTCTATCTGCCTTCTCGTGTCTCGAGAGTCGCTTGCAGCTGAAGGTTGC